GGCCGGGGACGAGTAGCAGGCCTGGATGACGGGCGTGGCGGCCCGAAGGCCCCGGCCAGGCCTCCCGTAGGGAGCGTAGCCGCCGCCGCCGCCGCCGCCGCCCCGCAGGTGGCAGTACTTGCCGTGGCGCTTGAGGCGCTTCTTGCACAGCGCCACGAGGTCGGGGATCTGCAGGTAGCTGGCGGCGGCCAGCACGGCGCCCAGGCTCGGCTCGGCACCCGGAGCCACGGCCGCGGCCGCCGCCGCCTCTGCGCCATCAGCCAGGCGGCCGGTGTAGATGAAGTCCAGCACCAGGCGGAACACGGCCGGGCTCACCATGTCATGGTCCAGGTTGAGCAGGTTGTCATGCACCACCAGGGACTTGAGGTAGGCGCTGCTGGCCGCCAGCACGTTCTTGTGCGCGCGGAAGAGGGCGTTCTGCACCACGATGATCACGTCGCACAAGAAGCCCTTGGTGCGCTGGTTGTTGAGCTGCAGCAGCAGCTGCCTCGAGTGGCCCGGCGCCTCCATCGTGTCCAGCATCGTCTGCCCAGCACACTCTCCTGCAGGGATACACAGCAGCCGGGTCAGCGCCTCACCCAGCCCTGGCCGCCTCTATCCAGCTGGGCGCTTCTCCCCCCGCCCGCCCCCCAACTTCCCCTTCCCCCTTGCCCTCGGCCAGGCAGGGGCATCGAACACCGCGGCCTGGGCACTGGCAGCGGGGCGGCGGCGGCCTCCGGGTGTGCAAGCCTGGGCCGGGGGCCTGGACCCAGAAGAAGGGCGTCCGAGCGTGGCTGCTGGAGACGAGGCCAGGCCGGCCTGCACGGCCCAGGCCCGGGTGCCACTGGGCACACAGGCTGGGCTCTGGGGACTTCCGAGGAGAAAACTGTTTGGGGGAAGTGACCCCTTCGGAGACAGTTACCGGATTTGAGGAAAATGTCCGCTTCAGGAAAAGTCATTCAGGGCCCAGAAGTTTGCCCGATTGGGATATAAGGGAGCCGAGTAAAAAAAAAAAACAAAAACAAAAAAAACAACAACAACAAAGCGCCTCCCGCCTCGGGAGAAGTTGCCCCAGCTGGGGGAAGTGATCCAGTGGAGGGGAGCGCGGTGCCCGCCGTGGCGCCGCCCTGCCCGGGGGCTGTCAGGCCCTCAGATGGGGCCGAGGCGCGGCCGCGGCGCGGGGAGCGGAGGCAGAGGCTGCCGTGGCGGGCAGAGCACGAAGG